TGACATGGTTCTTTTCTATTCCACAGACTTCTAGCTTTTTTCAGCGTGATACTCAGATGAAAGGCTTCTTGGACAATATGCTAGAATATGCTTGTAATCCCAGCATTCTGGGAGGCTGAGTCAGGAGAACCAAAAGTGCACAGTTTGGACTTGTAGTGATCCTCCTGTCTCAGCCTCCCCAGCACTGGGATTACAGACGTGCACCACCATGCCTGGTTTTGGTAGCCAGCAGGGTCAGCTCAACATGCAGTACTGGGGATTGAAGCCAAGTCCTTGCACCTGTCAGGCAGGTGCTTAGACTGCTGAGCTATCTCCCCAGCTCAGCATTTTATTAAGACCCTGTCTCAAAATAAAAATAAAAGACTAGACATGGTGGCACACACTTGTGATCCCAGCACTTGGGAAGCTGAGGCAGGAAGACTGCCAAGAGTTTGAGACCAGCCTAGGCTACATAGTAAGTTCAAGGTCAGCCTGAATTATATAGAGAGACCCTCTCAAAACAAAACATACAAAACAAAAACAAAAACAAAAAAAAAAAACCTCCTTTAAATGTTCTGGAGTCCCTTGAAGTTCAGGAACAATCTAACTGAACAACAGGATGTTTCCAAGTACATAAGGGGCTTGGCTGACATACAGTCAGTGTTCCATGCACTGCTCTAGAGCCTGGACCTGTTATCCCAGCACTAGGGAGGCTGAGGCAGGAGTATCACCATGAATTTGAGGCCAGCCTGGGCTACATAGTAAATTCAAAGTCAGTCTCTCTCTCTCTCTGTCTCTCTGTCTCTCTCTGTCTCTCTGTCTCTGTCTCTCTCTCTCCTTTTGTTTTCTCTTTTCTTTTCTTGAGAAATGGTCTTGCAACATAGTTCAGGATGGTCTCGAACTCACTATGCAGCCCAGGCTGGACTCTAGGCGATCCTCCTGCCTCAGCCTCTTAAGTGCTAGGATTACAGGTACATGCCACTAAGTCCAGCCATCCTCACCTCTTGCCAGAATCACTACCACTTAGCACCTCTTCATTGGTTCTGATTCTCCCCCCTCCACCTTCCCCAGCACAGCATGAGCACTGCCCTTACAAGCACTCTGTTACTCTCCAACTCAGTATCCTGCAAGGGTTCCTGTTCACCCACTCCACCTTGGAGGCCCAGGATTGGGAGGCAAGCAGAGAGGTGGGAAGGCCAGGCTGGACCTGTGCTTCCTGCCATGCTCACAGCCCAGGGCTCCGAGTACAGATGGTCCCCAGCATGTTCCATAGATTCATGCTCAGAAAAAGCTTCAGTGCAAATCTTTTCTTTTCTTTCTTTCTTTCTTTCTTTCTTTCTTTTTTTCTTTTTTTATACCAGGGATTGAACTCAGGACCTTGCACTTGTTAGGCAGACACTTATGCCTGGAGGCTGAGCTATCTCCCCAGCCCTCAAATCCTCTTCTTGAAAGAGCAAAACCAAATTCACAACACAAACATATCGTATACAAATGACAGATAATAAAAATAAATTTAAAAGAGTCCAAAAAGGCTGGCACATCACAATTTCAAAAAATAAAAAATAAAAACAAATGGCTCAGAAAATACTATCATGAAGAAAATTTAATACAGCAAGGTAGGGATGCAGCTCAGTGGTAGAGTGCTGGCCTACCATGTGCAAGACTCAGGTTCCACCCCCAGCTCTGGGGGCATGGGGAGCTTCCCCCCGGCCCCTGCCCTTTTCTGGAAAAACTTATTTAGGTCAGGTAAGTTCGTTTTATTTTTTGGCAGAACCAGGTATTGAACTCAGGCCCTTGCACTTGCCAGGCAAGCACTTATGCTACTGAGCTATCTCCCAGGCCCCCGTTTGTTTTTTTTTTTTAGACAGGGCTTCATTGTGTGGTTCTGGGTGACATTTAACTTACCATATACTCCAGGCTGGCCTCAGACTTCTGGAGATCTTCCTGCCTCAGTCTCTTGAATTCTGGGATTTTAGGTATGTGTCACCACACCCAACAGGGAAGGTGTTATACATCAGTCCGAGGGAGACACTAGGAGAATCCTGATAATTGGCTCATTAACTTAAAATCTACAAAGCTGTAATGGTCGGTCATCTGCACTCAGAGATCAAGCAAACAAAATAAACCATCATTGAGCTCTGTACACATAAAATCTTGAAGGCTAAAATTATTACCATTTGGCAAACATTACAATAGTCAGAACTTCCTGCCATAATGATGAATTGTTTTTTTGTACCAGGAATTGAACTCAGGACCTCATGTTTGCCAGGCAGGCACTGTGCTGCAAAGCTAAATTCCTGACTTAAAATTGTTTTTTCTTCTAATACGGGAGATGGGTATTCCAAGACTCTGCAATTTCTCTGGGGTATAGAACTATAGACTAAAACTCTGCATTAAAGCTTTCTAGGGGGGCCAGGGAGATAGCTCAGTGGAATAAGTGCTTGCCTGGCAAGCACAAGGTCCTGAGTTTGAACCCTGAGAGGCCGCAGTGGTCACTGCTCTTTAAAAGTAAACTCAGGATTTCTTTTACTCTGGCTGTACAGATAGGGTAACAGGGAGAAAAGGACTCTTTATACACAAGTACTCTTATAGTAGCCAAAGCTTTATAGGGGTTCAGGGGCTGGCCAAATAGCTCAGTATATTAAAGCACCTGCAAGCAGGCGCAGGGGCTGGGAGTTGATCCCCCAGCCTGCTGTGCCAGCCCCGCCCCCAGGGTACGCTGAGATGGCAATTGAGACTGGGTGTAGTGGTGTGCACCTGTAATCCCAGCTCTTGGGAGGCTGTAAACAGGCGGATCACTGAGTGCAATCCAGTAGTGAGACCCTGAACACCCTGTAGACTCTTCCCTAAAATATAAAATGCAAATATAAATAGGAGATGGCTCAGTGGAATAAGCACTTCCCTGGCAAGCTCAAGGGCCTGAGTTCAATCCCTGGTTCTGACAAAATAAAAAAATAAAAATAAAGCTTTATGGGGTGTGAGTATAGGGAGATAACTCCCAAAGCCCCAGCCACAGCCTATAGCACCAGGCTAGAGAGCCCTCCTGGTTCATAGCTGGCACCCAGCCAACACGGTCCCCTCTCCTTCAGGAGGCCTGGGCAGGAGAGGCCGCAGTGGTCATTGCTGTTTAAAAGTAAACTCAGGATTTCTTTTACTCTGGCTGTACACATGGGGTAACAGAGAGAAAAGGACTCTTTCACATGGAGAGAAAACATTCTCTCAGGCTTTCACAGAGAGCACATTGGCCAAGCAATGGCCGTGACGCATCCACATGGCTGACACTGACAAAGGTTCTACAATCTGAGGTATAGGATCTCAGGATAAATTCTGAGGGCATTTCACTGATCTTATCAGACCCAAAAGCTACAACTCTTATTGCATAGGTCCTGCTTACCTTGGTCTTAACCATCCAGCAGAAAAGTATAAAAACGAAATATAAGAAGTAAAGTCATGCTGTTATGTTGAGCTGTAGGGGACTCAGGCCAACAATTTCTGACATTGCCAGTCAATCGGAAGACCCACTACTATTATGGGCTAATGGACTCTTTTAGAATATTTTGCTGACTTTACACACCTATAATATTCAAATAATGGAACTTAACAAAAAAAGGGTATACAGATGAATGTCCATTTTGTATCTGTGTATTCAAAGTGGTTAGGATAGATATATAGTTACATTCTCTTAATGAATAGAGGGATTTGTTCTAATGGTGTTTGTAAATAGGATATCATGTCCACATCTTGTACAGCAATTAACCACTAGGAAGAATGTATGCAATGTGTTTATTGAAACTGTCCTACCAATTTGATTTGAAACTGTCTCATTGCTATTTATCAATAAAATTATGGGAAAAAATAAATAAAATCTACCACAAATAAAGTTCTAATTAAAAAAAAAAAGAAAGAAAAGGACTCTTTATACACAAGTACTCTCTTACAGTAGCACCCACTGGCTGTCTCTTCCCGACCCAGGGTGGAAATCACTGGAGTAACAGAATAAAGAGATGAGGTTTTCACACGTTTCCTGCATTAAGTCAGGCAGGCAGACCAGCAAGGATTCTCTGGACTTTACTGAGAAAGCTGAATCATGAGGCACCTGGAGAGAGCCCAGGGAGGCCCTGGAGGGCTGGCTGAGGCGGGGCCATGAGCTGCTGAGGACACCTTGTCCAGAAGGGGCTCAGGAACACACCCATCCACCTGACTGTCTGCAGAACAGTCCTGACTGCACAGTTGCCCCTGATCTAGAACTTGTCGCTAAATCTGCCAGCCCTCTCTTGTGTTTCTTTGAGACAGGGTCTGTGAGGTTCAGGCTGGCCTTGAACTCATGGTGATCCTCCTGCTTCAGTCTTCCAAGTGCTATGCTTACAGCTATGCGCCACCATGATCTCTCCATAAGAAGGGCAGTCAAAGGGCCTTCACCTTTAAAGCCGTGAGGGTACCTGGTTCCTACACAAAATATGACAGGACTTGACTCCACGTTGGGAGCGGCAGGACATCCAAGGTGAATAAAGCAGGTGAAGAAGTAGGTACTGGAGGGAGTAGCCTGGGAGAGATGGTGGGCACCTGCAGTCTCAGCAAGGATGGAGCTGAGGTGGGAGGACCCCTTCAGCACCAGAGACCAAGGCCAGCCTGGGGAACATGGGGAAAACCCATCTCAAAGACAAAACAACACAAAAAAACAAATGAACAGAAACTAGGTATGGTGACATGTGCTTATAATCCTAGTACCTGGGAAGCTGAGGCAGGAGAATCACTCTGGGATAGTGAGTTCAAGGCGAGGCTGGACTACATAGCAAGAACCTGTCTTAAAATAAAACATCAAGGGCTGGAGAGATGGCTCAGTGGTCTAAAGCACCTACTTGGAACAAGTTTGGTGAAGTACAGGGACTACGGTTCGATCCCCCAGCACCACATGCCAGCCAGCTGCGCCCCCTGGTGGGCTGAGCTGGCCACACACACACACACACACACACACACACACACACACACTAAATAAATGTTAAAAAAAAAAAAACAAAAAAAAACATCAAGTAGGAGCTCCATACTAGTGGGACAGAAACCATCAAAGCACACACCAACACTTGGGCTGAGGCCGAGGATATAGCTCAGTGAGTTTGATGCCCAGTACAAAAAAAGAAAAAGCTAACAACTGCTGTCACAGGAAAGGTCCATATGGAGTGAGAAACTCTTGCACAATTCCCTTAACAGGTCTGACATCCCTGAAGCTTGTCTAAGAAGAGGGTGAGCAGCAGTAGCTACATTCACGAGAGCACATGCAATTGATTTATTCCAAGGTCTCGCCCTTTCACAGAGATCAGTACTGTTCTTTTTTTGAAACAAAGTCTCAGTCACTAAGCTGCCCAAACTAGGGTCATATTTGCCATTCTCCAGTCTTAGCTTCCCAGGGAAGCTATCAGTTCTTTCTTCATCTCTCTCTTTAGGCCTAGAGATTTGGGAAGGCAGCCATGAAAATAAACATGCAAGTGACCTGGAGAGGGATGCACACCAGCCGGTGAAGACATAGCTCTGGGACTATGGCTCTTCCTGGGCCATCAGGGCCACCAGCGCGGCTCGTACTGCTGTAGCCTGGCCAGGGGGCAGCAGGCAGTCCTGAATGAGCGCCACGGCAGCTGCCTCGGTCAGGCTGCTGAAGTCCTGAGCTGTTTTGACGGGGAGGTGCCCGGCCAGCTCACAGAGGGCAACATTGAAAGCTTCACCCTCCTTTATTCCAAAGCTGGACTTCCGGGCCCACAGGATCACTCGGACCCCTGTGAGGGCCGAGCAAGGCGATGCCTTTCCAGGTGGGGCTCCCCGTGTCACAAACAAGTTATGTGCAATCTCCTGGTCGGTCAGATAGTCAGTGGCTCGACAGACCCTGCTAATCACAGCTTCCAAGTCAGGCCCGGGTCCACTGGTGTAAAAGAGGAAGCCAGGAGCTGGCAGGGTTTGGAGCAGGTGCAAATGGCCCCCCGGGTCCAGGGGCTGGCTAGGCGCCCCCTCCACAGGCAGCCTGTGGGCTAGGTAATAGCCATGCAAGTGGAGGTGGTTCACTGAGGCCAAGCCCCCCAGGCTGTTGAAGCCCACCCGGAAGCCTGGGTGTGAGCTTAGCAGCACAGCCTCCAGCCCAGCTCGCAGCACACCTGGCAGCAGGCGCTGGGGCAGCTGCTGGGCAGGTTCAGGCACCAGCAGCACGTGCCCCCACTCCAGTGGGCTGACGTTGATCACCACCAGGATGTCCTGTGGGAGGGCACTATGCGTGTCAGGCTCCTGGTGCAGACGAAAAAGGACTTCTCCAGGCCGGATCTTGTTGAAGTTAAACTGTTCCGGGTCAAATGCCTGCCTCACGCTCTTGATGTTCTGGGGGCACCTCCTCTGGACACCTCGCTCCACATTTAGCTGAGCCACAAAACCCACAGCACCAGGGAGGACTTGAGTCTGCAGCTCCCCCAGGCAGTAGCGAAAGAGACCCAGCTCCATCCGCTGTCTCCAGGCAGAGCAGAGCGCAGAGTCGAAGCGGGATGCTGGCCAGGAGTCTGGGGTGCTGGGTGGGCTGCTAGGCCACTGCACCCCTCCCACAACGAGCTCCTCCTGCCCATACACAAAGGCAGGGGCGCCCTGCTCTCCCCAGTCCTCATGGTCAGGAGGAAGCAGGTAGGAAGTTCTGTGGGAGTCACACAGAATAGACATGAAGCTGCCCTGAAGCTGTCATAAAAATGAAAAACATAGGATAGTAACCCATTTTGAGAGACGTTCATTCTTAAATAATTATTTTTTCTCTGATTATAAAAAGCAATATAAAATACATGCTTTAGTAAAATGTTTAGGAAACAGAGAAATTTCTCATATTCTATTGCTTGCAGATGAATAAATGGTTTTGCTAAATTAAAAAATATTGGGGGGTCGGGGAGATGGCTCAGTGGAATAAGCGCTTCCCTGGCAAGTGCAAAGGCCTGAGTTCAATCCCTGGTACCACCAAAAAAAAAAAAAAAAAAAAATTGGGCCAGGGATATAGCTCAGTGGCATAAGCGCCTACCTGACAAGTGCTAGATCTTGAGTTCTATCCCTGGTACCAATAAATAAATTAATTAATTAAAAATATTTATTGAGGGGCTGGCGATGTACATCAGAGGCAGATAAGCACCAGTTAGCATGTGAGAGTCCCTAGGTTTGATTCTGGGCAATACCAACGAAACAAAAGTGAAAAACAAACAAATGAAAACCACAAAACAAGAAGGAAGTACACAATTTTGAGGCTGGGGGTGTAGCTCAGTCTCAGAGCACCTGCCTAGTATATGCAGGACAACCCCAAGAAGAAGAAAGTATATATACAAATAATGTGTGTACATTTATGTATTTAAATATCTGTATACACATATATAGGGAGGAAATGGAAAAAAACATAAAGATAAAAAACAACCCTGGGGCCAGGGAGATGGCTCAGTAGAATAAGCCCTTCTCTGGCAAGTGCAAGGTCTGAGTACAATCCCCGGTTCCACCAAAAAAAAAAAAAAAAAA